AGCCAATGAGAAGAGACGCGACCTAAACCATCACAGAAGTGACGTTAACTACACACAAACAACGTGAAGTTTACACGTTGTTGACACGTTAAAAACATGTTAAGCTTCGACTCGTATTTGACAGGTCATTTGATGCGTCATTACGGGTTGTTGACATGTAATGACCACGTGGTTGTGTCAGCGTCCATGACCGCGTGTAAAGAAAACAGCTTCAGACCTCGTTCAGACGCCCTCCTCCAACAGGAACTTAAAAAGAGACGGAGACAGCTCGTCCTTTGGTTTCAGGCCGGGGGACAGGCAGGACCTGTGTTAGCTGCAGTAAGGGGCGGGCTCTGAGGCGTGAGGCTGAGCAGGCACTTCCTGCTCCGCCGCCGCCACCGCCACCGCCGCCTGGCCCCAACCAGGAAAACCATTACTGCACCATCTGTCTGTCAGGGCTTTGGCAGATACTCACTTCACATTTATGATGTTTTTAACTAAAACCAGATGCAGCAGGCCTTCAGAGCTGGGCCTGATGCTCCACTTGGGGCTAATGGCAGCAAAGTGTGAATGTTGCCTTGGAGGGGACTAATTCTGCCCACTTTAATATCCAACCACTGACGTGAGATGAAAATACCAGACAGAGCTGCAGCCTTGGCCTGGTTAGGACGGCTGGCTACAAGTGAGTCACAGATCCCTGACTGAGTCAGAGTCCTGGTCCACGTGGTGGCACACCGAGGCACCTGGAGCTCCAAAAACCAAAACCTATTCCCCAGGAAACCAGGCTCGCTGTGACCGGACCGACAGGAGGGACCTGCTGCACAAACAACGGCCAGTTTAAAGAAAAGATTCAGTTCTGCCAACAAACTTTAAATGTTTGCATAAAATCATAAACACTGAGACCAGACGACATCCTTTGTGTCAAACTTTGTTTCTTTAAAACACCGGACAAGACTTACAGCGAGAACAGGAGAAACTAGTTTCCAACAAGCTCCAGAAACAGAACAAAATCATGAAATTAATATTAATATTATTTATTAATAACAGGCTGAAGCAGGAGAGACTCTGTTAGAATAAAGGTCCAACTAATATTGGGTTCATGCTTTAATTGCTGTTTCTTTCCAACAAACAGATGCAGTTTGAACATATTGGATGAATTATTTGTGGGTTTTTTAACCTCTCTGACAGCCTGGCTGCTTGGATCCAATCATCTGTGTTTGTTTTTCTCTCTTTGAATTGGTTTCAGAATAAAATGCCAGGATGTCAGAAAGAAGTGATCAGCATCTCTGCTGTTCGTTCTTCACCATCTGTGCTTTATTAAAGAGACAAACTGAAGCTTTTCAACCAATCTGCTACATTCACACAATTATTTCTTCCATTTATTTCGTCTGCACACATTTAATCTACATTCACACAGCTGTRAGCAGCACTAATTCATCTTAACTTCCTGTTTGAGTCTAACGCTCCCTTCTGACTGCAGTTATGGAGGAAAAATGACTGCATGTTCTTTAAATGTTGAAAACATAAAAAGGTGGGGGATGAGCTGACACTGCTGACAGCTGAGCGTATTTCCCAGTGACCTTTGACCTGTGTGAGGTATCAGACACCTTTAAAACACTGCTGAGAAAGCTGAAACCTAAATAAATCTCTGCCATGCCACATCCCAGCTTCCTTCCTCTCCATCCTGACCCTGACAGATGAAGACATCATTCCTCTGCAGGGAACCAGAGAGCCAGGCTCCTTTTCCCACAGCTTTCATGTGCAACACCGGAGCCGGTTTGGGCCTCAGGAGCAGATTAATCGATGCACTCAGCCGGGCCGGCTCAGAGGAGGAGGAGGAGGGGCGGCCCGGCACTCGTTAGGACCGAGGATCACCAAATCTCTCAAACAAACAGTTGTGTGTGTGAGAGAGCCAACAGAGTCCCTGAGGAGCTGAGGATCAGCAGCTGTGCTCCACTTTCACCTCCTCTGCAGCCACCCTGCTCAGCTGCATGAGAGACCAGCAGCTACTGCTTCTCCACGAGCAGAAACTTCAGCGACGGCTGCATCTGTTAGCTGTTAGCTGTAGATCTGTTAGCTGCAGATCTGTTAGCTGCAGATCTGTTAGCTGCAGATCTGTTAGCTGTTAGCTGTAGATCTGTTAGCTGTTAGCTGCAGATCTGTTAGCTGCAGATCTGTTAGCTGTTAGCTGCAGATCTGTTAGCTGCAGATCTGTTAGCTGTTAGCTGTAGATCTGTCAGCTGCAGATCTGTTAGCTGTTAGCTGTAGATCTGTTAGCTGTTAGCTGCAGATCTGTTAGCTGCAGATCTGTTAGCTGTTAGCTGCAGATCTGTTAGCTGTTAGCTGCAGATCTGTTAGCTGTTAGCTGCAGATCTGTTAGCTGCAGATCTGTTAGCTGTTAGCTGCAGATCTGTTAGCTGTTAGCTGCAGATCTGTTAGCTGCAGATCTGTTAGCTGCAGATCTGTCAGCTGCAGATCTATTAGCTGTTAGCTGCAGATCTGTTAGCTGCAGATCTGTTAGCTGTTAGCTGCAGATCTGTTAGCTGCAGATCTGTCAGCTGCAGATCTATTAGCTGTTAGCTGCAGATCTGTCAGCTGCAGATCTATTAGCTGTTAACTGCAGATCTGTTAGCTGCAGATCTGTTAGCTGCAGATCTGTTAGCTGCAGATCTATTAGCTGTTAGCTGTAGATCTGTTAGCTGCAGATCTGTTAGCTGCAGATCTATTAGCTGTTAGCTGTAGATCTGTTAGCTGCAGATCTGTTAGCTGCAGATGATACTTTGTGTTCATCAGAGGAGAAAACATCTTCCTCTTGTCTTCAAAGTTCTGCACACACTCCGTGCTCTGAAACTGTGAAAGTTGAGACTCAAAGGAGCAGGGGTGAAACGAGGCCACCTGAATCTGGATCCATATGGCACCCTGTGAGACTGGTCTCTGTGGACCGATCCGAGACAAGAAGACGCAGCATCAGACTTTTCAGAAGTCCTGGCCTCCTTTTAGAGGAGATTAAACTGACCTGAAAGCAAATAAAGATTTATCTTTCTGTTTTTCTGTGAACTTGTTTACTTGTGTCTCCTCAGCGCCGCCTGCCAGAGTCTACTTTTTACTCTCCGCTTCCTCCGGGCGTCTCCTGTGGATTCTCCCGTCTAATTTGGAGGCGACCCACAGCCGCTTTAATCCCTCTGGTTGTGAAGAGCTGCTCTCAGCGGAGGCTGCTGTCACACAGGGACGAGTCAGGCAGCAGMCACACAACTTCAGAGGAGGACAGGTTGAAGGAAGTGAGGAAAGGTCTGCAGCCAATCACCCCYTCCCCCCGTTACATGCTCCGTTTACAGTGGGACCAGGCTGATCCACTTCAACTTTAACTTCTGAAGTCTTTAATGTTCCCGTCTTCATCCTGACCTCAGAGAAATCCTGTTTGTTTCCACTTTTCACACAAGATTACAGTGAGGAGCAGCGCTCTCCACAAATGAACAGTTTCTAACAAACATCCTGTTTGATGCAGACCATCACCTCAGTCTGACTCAGCACAGCACTGCCATGTTTCTGGTTTTCATATGTTTGTCTGAGCGAGCGCGACCCGAGGATTGTGCCGCTGACAGTCCCCATCAATCAGCCCGCCACCAGAGTGCAGAGTTCAAGAGGCGTTTTGGCAGCAGGCTTCACCGGGGGGCTGCCAAGGCAAAGAGACTGCACCAGAGTAATGATTGTCATTAGGCAGCTTCATGAATATTCATGAGCAACATCTGCAGGAGGACATGGCTCTGTGAGGGACTGACAGTCAGCAGGATCAGCTCTTAGTCAGGACATGGTTAGTTCAACAGCTGATGGCTGGGGTCAGGGGGGGCAAAGGTCACGGCTCATTAAAACAGCTGATGGCTGCAGGTACCACCAGCTCAACACAACAGGTCCAGGACAGAACCCAGAGCCCCCTCCCTGCAGAGGGCTGCAGAGAGTCACCCCAACACACACTCTGACTGTCAACACATGGACGAGGTGAGGTCTGCATCCCTCCCATTTAATCTGAGCTGAGAGGCTGAAGCTTCAAACTCATCCAACCCATCCAACGCATCCAACCCATCCAACTCATCCAACTCATCAAACTCATCCAACTCATCCAACTCATCCACCTGATCAAACTCATCCAACTCATCCAACTCATCCAACTCATCCAACTCATCCAACTTATTTAACTCATCCAACCCATCAAACTCATCAAACTCATCCAACTCATCCAACTCATCCACCTGATCAAACTCATCCAACTCATCCAACTCATCCAACTCATCTAACGTATTTAACTCATCCAACTCATCCAACCCATCCAACTCATCCAACTCATCCAACTCATCCAACCCATCCAACTCATCCAACTCATCCAACTCATCCAACTCATCCAACTCATCTAACTTATTTAACTCATCCAACCCATCCAACCCATCAAACTCATCAAACTCATCCAACTCATCCAACTCATCCACCTGATCAAACTCATCCAACTCATCCAACCCATCCAACCCATCAAACTCATCAAACTCATCCAACTCATCCAACTCATCCACCTGTTCAAACTCATCCAACTCATCCAACCCATCCAACCCATCAAACTCATCAAACTCATCCAACTCATCCACCTGATCAAACTCATCCAACTCATCCAACCCATCCAACCCAAACTCATCCAACTCATCCAACTCATCCACCTGATCAAACTCATCCAACTCATCCAACTCATCCAACCCATCCAACCCATCAAACTCATCAAACTCATCCAACTCATCCACCTGATCAAACTCATCCAACTCATCCAACCCATCCAACCCAAACTCATCCAACTCATCCAACTCATCCAAATCATCAAACTCATCAAACTTTCAAACTCATCCAACTCATCCAACCCATCCAAACCATCAAAATCATCCAAACCATCCAACCCATCAAAATCATCCAAACAATCCAACCCATCCAACTCCTCCAACTCATCCTCAAACAACTCAAACAACTCAAACAACTCATCAAACTCATCCAACTCATCCACCCATCCAACCCAAACTCATCCAACTCATCCAACTCATCCAACTCATCAAACTCATCCAACCCATCCAACCCAAACTCATCCAACTCATCCAACCCATCCAACTCATCCAACCCATCAAACTCATCCAAACCATCCAACCCATCAAACTCATCCAAACCATCCAACTCATCCAACCCATCAAACTCATCCAACTCATCCAACCCATCCAACTCATCAAACTCATCCAACTCATCCAACCCATCCAACTCATCCACCTCATCCACCTCATCAAACTCATCCAACTCATCCAACCCATCCAACTCATCCACCTCATCCAACCCATCCAACCCATCAAACTCATCCAACCCATCCAACTCATCCAACCCATCCAACTCATCCAACTCATCCAACCCATCCAACTCATCCAACTCATCCAACCCATCCAACCCAAATTCATCCAACCCATCCAACTCATCCAACCCATCCAACTCATCCAACCCATCCAACTCATCCAACCCATCCAACTCATCCAACTCATCAAACTTT